CATAGAATTACCCTATGATCCAGCAATTTCACTTCTTTGGGTATAGACCCAAAAGAATTGAAAGCAAAGATTCAAACAGCTATGTGTACAAACATTTTCATAAATGCATTATTCATTCACAATAGCTGAAAGGTAGAAACCACCCAAATGTTCATGGATGGATGGATTGAACAAAATACAGTATAGTCATACGATAAAATACTACTCAGCTTTAAAAGGAAATAAAGTTCTAATACATGCTACAGCATGCACGAACCTTAAAGAGATTACCCTAAGTGAAATAAGCTAGACACAAAGGGACAAACACTGAATGTTCCACTTATATGAGGTGTCTAGAGTAGCCTGAAGAGCTGTAGACACAGAAAGCAGGATTGTGGCTGCAGGGACTGGGGGCAGGAGGATGTTGAATGGGAGCAGAGTTTCAGTCAAGGAAGATGACACATTCTGGAAATGGACGGTGGTGATGGTTACATATTATGAATGTACTTAATGTCACTGAATTGTACACTCAAAAATGGTTAAAATGGTAAATTTTGTTATGTATATTTCATCACAATTACAAAAAATAAAAACAAACAAAAAACCAAAAGCCTGCCGCATGGAACTTCTGGTCTTTAAGGGTGCCCCAGAGAAGAGTTTGTTAACGAAGAGGAGTGTCACCTCTCCCACCTGAGAGCAGGGTCACAGACTGCATGGGGGTTCTTCAGCATAGTCTGGGGTGGGTGGTGGGAGGGTCGGGACACAGAAGGTCACACACAGGTTCCCCTCACTCTCCACCCAGACTAGTTCCTCTTCTGTTTTCAGTTTCCAGCACGTTCACATGAAATCTTGCTTGAAAAAAAGGCCACCACTGCTTACAAGCATGTTTTTTTCTAAAACCACTGCCTTCCTTCTCTAAAATGACCCGATTGAGAGACGTTTCCATGACGAGTGAGCAGGCAGGGTTGCCTCTGCAAGAGGGGTCTGCTGAGCGGGCAGGGTGGGGCTCAGATGGGCAGGGCTCTTGCAGCCCTTCCACCCTTCCCCTGGGCTGGGGTGGTCAGTTAGATTTCTGATGGCCCCATCTCCTCCTGGAGGCCAGGGTACTCAAATGAGTCACCTCTGGTCTTGCCTAGGGCAGGGTGTGGAAACGGCACCTGATTTTGGCATTGGAAACCTTGGCTCCAAGTCCTGACTGGGCCTTTTATGAAACACTTAACATCCCAGCCTGTTTTCTTAGCTGTAAAATGGGGACAATCCAACACCACCCGTCTCCCGGATAGGACGTGTCACCACACCTCAGAGGATACTCAGCACAGTGCTGGGCGCAGAGGAGCACACATGGGGAGCTTTAGTGTTCAGGCCATAAGGCTCAGAAATGGGGGCTGTGGGCCCTGCAGTGCCTGGGAGGCCCCGGGGCGGGGCCCTGAGTCCTCGGACCTACCGGGCTGGCCTGGCCAGAGTGTTCAGGCCATAAGGCTCAGAAATGGGGGCTGTGGGCCCTGCAGTGCCTGGGAGGCCCCAGGGCGGGGCCCTGAGTCCTCGGACCTACCGGGCTGGCCTGGCCAATCCCAGCACTGCTTGGGGCACAGAGGGGTGCCCCGTACACGGCTGTGTCCAGAGCAAACAGCCTGGAGAGTCCAGGACCAACCAGACACTGCAAATGTTTCTGAGCCAAGTCACAGTTTCAGAAGGCTCCAGCCCGCCACCCCCAGGAGCCCCACCCAGGTGATGTGACTACACCCTGCACTACCCTCCCTCCATCTCCGCATGTGACAGTTCTGTGCCTTCCATGCTGGGCTGTGACTTCTTGAAGGCAGGGACCCAACCTACTCATCTCTTCTTCCCCAGTACATAGAGAGGGTTCAGTGACTGCGTGGTCAGTGGTGATGATGATCATGATGATAGTGACAGTGACAATGACCCTCACAGCAGCTATCCAGCACATGGCTCTTACCCCAGGTGTGGCACAGTTCTAAGTGCCCTTGGTATGACCTTGATATGACCTTTCAAACCTCACAAAAATCCTAGCAGGTGCATACTATTGCCATGATCCTTCTTTTTAGTGAAGGGACCAAGGCTCAAAGAGCTAAGGTGCCTTGTAAAAGGTCACACAAAGTGACAGAAGCAGTACTTGAGCCCTGGTGCCTTGATTTACCCTTTTAACTGCTACTCCAGGCTGTTGGACAAAGGTGTCACCTCTCCTGATGACTACTTATCATAGGAGGGGACTTTAGAAGTCCTCAGGCCACCTTCTCACAGAAGCTCTAAAATCTGAGTCACTGACACGGAGGCCATCCTGGAACCGCCCTTCCATCTTTCTCAAATGGAACCCCAGCCCGCTGCCCTCTAACATGCCCACAAGACATAGAAAATGGTCTCCTCCTGCCCTCCCATGGTTCTTCCGCTGTATGAGTTTGCCTCTCTCCTCCAGGCTGACAGCCGACCTCCGTCCCCAGACCTCCTCCAACCTGGTGACCCGCCTGGATATTTCCTACTCGGGTCAGTGTGCTGGAGCCTGGAGCCCACAATGGCCGTCCATGTGGCCTGAGAAGCAGGCAGTGGAGAGGAGCTATGGCCCCTGCCTTGATCTAGGTCCTGGCCTCACGTGGGTGGCCAGCCTCTCCTGAGCCTCACACTCTTGGGCCACATGGAGCCCATGGAAACTCAGCCCCCTTGGGTCCCTCTAGTCCCCCCACTCTATACTAGTATGACTCACTTTAGTGAACCCAAGTATTAAATGTTACATTTTGCCTTGTAAAATTTCCTCCTTTCTCACCCTGACAAGACTGTTCTGAACCCTGAATTTGTCACCCCAAAGCCATTTACTGTCCCTCCCAGGGCTGGGTCATCTGCAGCCCAGAGAAGCGTCCCTTCAGTGTCTTTATGGAGAAAATAAATAAATTGCTGAGCAAGACAGGTTCTGGTTTCCTCAACTGTGTTTAAATCCAGCACTAATAAATAGATCTGTCTCTGGTCAGACCACGTCTGCCCAGAAGTGCTGATTTGAGGGCTCTGGCCCCCCTGGATGACCGCCTTTGGGGGATGTGATAGGTGGCTCTTACTCTGAGAAGGTGTTGAGAAGCCCCCACTACCATCTCCTCTACTGTTGGGGCTTCATTGCACTCTTCATGATCTTTGTTTTACTCCCCCTGCCCCCCCCCCGCCCCAGTCTGAGGATTATTCTCAAGGGAGATGGAGTTGGAACAAAGTGGGAACGGGCACTTCTTTCTGTCTGACGTTAACACTCCACATCTTCCCCCAGCAGAGGAGAGTTGTTGCCTTGCTCATCCTCTTGTTCCAAATAGACCAACAGGGATGCAAACAAACAGCCTTGGTGCTGACCAGGATTCCTTTACAACCACTGCTAATTCTGGACTTCAATCCTTCTGGATATTCTGACATACCTGTGGGTGTGTCATAACCAAGGCGTCTGGCAAATGTGAAAAATCAGTAGGTTCATGGCAATCTCAAGTCAGCTGTCCTCTTTGGCTGTCCAGCCCCCTTTCTCCCTGTTAAAATCACTTGTGATTTTATTGCCAGAATCTCATTCCCACCAGTTAGAATGCTTTCACTTGGGAGGTTTTTATCTACCCCTCACATTATATCTCCTCTGAATTAAGAATTCCTTTAGGCAGTTTCTTGAGACCATCACTTTGATGAATCCCTACCCCATTTCTGGCCTTGGGGACATATCACAGAGTGGTCTTGTAAACCCTCTGAAATCTTTTCAAAGACCTTTGATATTATTTGATGTTTTTATTATTTATTGTTATTCTCCCCCCACATCAGGAGAAACAGTTTCATCATTTTGTAATCAAATAACATTTGCAAATATCAACAAGAGGATGTGTAATGTATTACACATGCATAATGCACAGTAACTGCTGTTGACAGAAACCTCCTGGTGATATGACAGATCTCCAATCCCCCTTCATGCTTGCTTTCTCAGTGATCTAATACACACCCATCCTGCAGCTGCATCTTCCTGACACCCATCCCTGCCACCTCATCCCCAACTGGGAAGTCAAATGGAATTTGTTCAGGGCCCTAAACCTGGCCTCACCTAGAAGGGATGGAGGAATCTGGGAAACCTTCGTGGAGGAGGTGGCTCATGCATCAAGATATAATATTATATATATCTTGATTTATTATTATTATACATGTAACATACATTTACATATGTTACATATATATGTTAATATTTCTCATTATACTTTGAGAACAGGAAGCATGTCATTACATTCTCAGTGTATAGCACATGGAGTACATAGTAATACATTTACATATGTTACATATATATGTTAATATTTCTCATTATACTTTGAGAACAGGAAGGATGTCATTACATTCTCAGTGTATAGCACATGGAGTACATAGTAGTATTTCAGGTCAGGTGGGGTTTATCTGTCTGGCGGCTGTAGGCAGGGGACAGCAGTGCAGAAAGAAAGGCAGGGCACCATCCCTAAGGTAGGAAGAGTGGGGAGAACAAAGGCCGGGAGAGGTCTGTGAGGGGCAGCTGTGGACACCACCTCTACAGGGCAGGCAAGAGGAGGGGCTGAGGCTATAAGGTGGGAAGAAGAAAGCCCATTTGATTTCAAAGACCCACTTTTGAATTTACCTTTGGGGAAGCACTTGGTAGAGCAGTCAAGTGGGGTGTCAGGCCTAGTGTCCCTATCTCTCACTGACCCAGTGAGCGCAACTGAATAGTGCCTGCTTTTCTGTCTTCAATTTCAATTTTAATTAATCAATATAAAAAAACCCAGTCTCTCAGTCAGACTGGCTGCATTTCAAATGCTCAATAACCACATGTGTCTGATGGCTACCATACTGAATGCACAGAACATTTCTGTCATCACAGAAAGTTCTATCAACAGCAATGTTCTAGAATAAGCAAATGAGCAATTCATTCTGGGATCGCCTTTCCTCAGGAATACAACATCTTTCATCATTTCTATTAAACCTGTGATTCTAGATGCAAATGCTTCTGAGAGAGGCGCTGGAATGACTTAAATTCTTACCAAAGAGTAACTGGTTGATATGAAGGGCCAGGAGAAAGCCAGCGTCTCAGGAAATCATTCACCCAGGGCTGAGTATATGGAACAGTACACCGGCTAAAGGGCATCAGAAAATAAGACACTGTCAGAAAATAACTAAACGTGCTGTCTGAGGATGCTTATGGGTAAGATTTGAGCTTCTCCAAAGGATGTGGAAAACTTTGTGATCTGGGAGAAAAGGAAATGCCCCCAAGATTATTCATCTTCAAATGAGAAGACAGTTTATTTCCCAACAGTCCTCAGCAGGGAGTTATTACATGAGAAACAAGTTTGGCTCTACTTCTGCGGAGGGGAGAATAAGAAGTGGATGCAGGCCTTTGCAGAGGTGGATACCTGTGAACTTGACCCTCCTCTGCCCTCTACATTCACTCTATGGACAGACCCATGGCTTTATTCATCTCCTCCACACCGATGCCTCCCAGAACCACTCCCCCGACCCAGGCCTAGAGATCCGAATACTCACTTATTCCACCAGAAGCTCAAAGGTATTATCACAGTCTCTGCCTCCCGCCTCCACGCTCCTCTTCCTATGCTCCCAATCCTGGCTCATCCACCTGCTCACACCCTCGTCCAGGTCAGCACCCTGTGAATCACGCCAGGCTCCTGCCCCATCATCCCTCCTCCATCAAGGTCACCACATCTTGGCCACCTCTCCACTCTGCCTGAATCCACCCAGCCAGGCATTCTGTCTGGCCCTGCCCTAACTGCAGGCCTTGTCCTGCCACACCTGCACTCTGTCAGGGGCCACCTGTGGCCTCCCTGCTTCCAGTCATGGCCACAGCCTGGTGGTTCTTAACCACGAATGAGCAACAGAATGACCGGGGAGGCATTTAAAATCTAGACCCTGACCTAGTAGATCTGGCTGGGTTGAGCATGTGTATTTGTAAAAGGGCCCCAGGTGATTCTGATGCATGCTCTTAGTTAAGAACTATGGCCTCCTCCTCATTATTAATAACAAAAACAATAATTAACATTTTTTGTGCACTTAACATGCACTGCCTCATGTAATCTTCATGACAACTCTATGAGGTAGGAGCTATCATCTACTCCCATTTTACAGTTGTTGAAACAGGCACAGAACGTCCCATAGCTAGTAAGGGGAGGACGAGAACTTGACCCACCACTCCTAACCTCTCTGCTTTCCATGCCCCTTTATAAAATCAAACTTGTCATGTGGCTCCCCTCCTAATACCATTTAATAACAGTTCTAGAAAAAAAGTGTGGGGACACATTCACGATTTCCCTCTCCAGTCAACCTCCCACCAATAGCTTCTTAACTGTAAAAGAAATACCTTCATCAGGGTAGTGGTTACATTGCAAATACCTATGTAAAAAATGGGGGCTGGCCGTTAGCTCAGCTGGTTAGAGCATGGTGCTATATAACACCAAGGTCAAGGGTTCAGATTCTCTAGCAGCCAGCCACCAAAAAAAAAAAAATTTTCACTGAGATGTATGCTTAGGATTTGTGACTTTATGTTCGCTATTTCTTAATTTAAAAGGTCCTTAAAAAGTTACTTAAAAAAAGAAAAAACCTAGCAAATGACAAAAAAAAAAAAATTTTCACTGAGATGTATGCTTAGGATTTGTGACTTTATATTCGCTATTTCTTAATTTAAAAGGTCCTTAAAAAGTTACTTAAAAAAAGAAAAAACCTAGCAAATGCAAAACAGGGAAAAACATGCATCCACCAAAGAAACTAGGAAACAGCCATCGAAATGCAAGCAACTGTGAAAATTTTTTCTGGCAATAACACAGATAAGAACAAATTAAGAAAAGAGCCCCTGAGCTGACCCACAGGAAATCCTTGGAGGAGACCAGGTTTGGAGAGGACACTGGCTGGAGCCAAGGTCCCATGAACGACTGACAGGAGACCCTAACACAGGGGTGGGAGCTTGGCTACAGTTGGGGACATAGGCCAGGTACTGCAGCAATGGCAGGAGCAGCGACACTGGGGCTCTGAGGATTCACAGGACTGTCTGCGCCAGGGGCAGGGGCTGCCCCAAGTGGAAGTCATGAGAGTGAGTGGCTTCTTCTTAAAGAGGCTGTGATTTCTGCACCAGAAAGAAAGTCCAGCCTCACCAAATCCAGCTCCTGGTGTACAAGGGGTCTTCATGGAAATATTCATATTATCTTTTAATTCTATTTTTTCACAAACATTGAAGTACCCTCGTATTGGGTGCTTACAGATACAAAGGGCCCAACTGGGGTCACTCATGCTCCCAGTTCCCATTATGCAGTCCAGGGGAGCAGGGCTTACCAAATGATTTTGAAGTCCATTCTAAAAGAGCAAAGAAAATTATTTTCAGTTAATTTAACTACTAAGAAAAAAAAATTAAAAAAAAGAAAATTCTCAGAAAAATGCGTGATAAAGAACACCTTCCCCTAGCACCTATTAAAATATATTTAAAGAAAGTGTGATCAACACAGTTGGTGCTGGTATAGGAACAAACAATTCAACGTAACAGACCAGAGAGTCCTAGAGCAGACCCAGGTAGGTGTGGAAATGTAAGATACAGGTGGAATTGCAAATGAGAAGAAGAAGGAACAATATTTTAACCATTGGTGACTTTGGGAAAAAGAGGTTAATTCCTTAACTCTCACAATTCACCAAAGATTCCATCTAGATCAAGATTTAAATGCAAAAATAAATAAATAAAGTATTAAGAGATAGTTTATGTGAATACTGTGGTCCCTCGGTATCTGAAGAGGATTGGTTCCAGGACCCCCTGCAGATAACAAAATCCCTAGACACACAAGCCCTGATATAAAATCATGTAGTATTTGCATATAACCTATGCACATCCTCCCATTATACTCTAAATCATCTGTAGATTACTGATAATACTAATACAATGTAAATGATATGTAAATAGTTGTTTTACTGTATTATTTTATTTCTTATTTTTATTTTTTTTAAAAAGATGACCGGTAAGGGGATCATAACCCTTGACTTTGTGTTGTCAGCACCACGCTCACCCAGTGAGCCATAGGCCGGCCCTTTACTGTATTGTTTTAAAACCTGTATTATTTTTTATTGTTGTATTGTCATTTTTCCAAATATTTTCGATCCATGGTTGGTTGAATCTGTAGATGCAGAACCTGCATATAGGGAGGACTGACTATATATAATTCTGCAGCAGAAAAATCCTTTCTGAACCTGACACAAAGACAGAATCCAAATACCCATGAGTTATCCCACCAGGAGTCTCCAATCAACGATCCCAATGCGGGCTGGCCAGTTAACTCGGTTAGAGCACAGCCTTATAACACCAAGGTCATGAGTTTGGATCCCTGTACTGGCTACCTGCCAACAACAATCCCAAAGGGATTATCACACCCCCCAACCCCACACTCCTCTTCCTATGGTCCCAAGATCCTGGCTCATCCACCTGCTCACACCCTCGTCCAGGTCAGCACTCTGTGAGTCACCCCAGTCTCTTTCCCCTTCCTCCTTCTCCCGCCCAAGGTCACCACATCTTGGCCACCTCTCCACTCTGCCTAAATCTGCCCAGCCAGGCATCCTCTCCAGCCTTGCCCTGACTGTGGGCCTTGTCCTGCCATACTTGCTCTATAGCAGGGGCCGCCTGTGGCCTCCCTGCTTCCAGTCATGGCCACCTTCAGCCCAGTTGTTTGGAAAGCCTATATAGACTGCCTTGATTACATGGACATTTTAGATTTATGAATGCTTTGAAAATGAACAAAACTAAATGGCAAATGACAATCCAGGATAAAATATTTGTAACATGAAAGACAATGAGTTAGTGGCCTGAATACATATCAAGTACTCTTATAAATTAATAAGATAAAAGGACTATACCACAGTAAATTTTTAAAACTGCACAAATGAAATGAAAAAAAAAAAAAAGAATATACCAATAGAAAACTAGATAAAGCACATAATTAGATAATTCATCAAAAAAGAATTACCAATGACGGATTGGTCTATAAAAGAATCCAAGTAATGAAGTAATAAAAGGAAAAAAGAAAAAGGAAAGTAAACTAAAGCAACAATGAAATACTATTTCTTTGCTTATCAAATTTGCAAATTAAAAAAAAGTTAATACCTAGTGTTGGGAAGGATGTAGTGAAAGAGACACTCTCATAGATTGGTGGTGAAAGCGTAAGCTGATATATCCTTTCTGAAAAGCAATTTGACAATATGTATCAAAATCCCTGAAACTGCATATTCTTTGATCTAGCAATTCTTCTTAGACTGTACCCTACGGATAAAAATAAGGATGTGCACAGAGTCAGTAGTATATATAATGGCCACAGTCATGGGAAATCATGGTAAATATACAGTGAAATGCAAGAGATCCTTAAGAAGTTTATTGACAAGGAAAAATGTTCATAACTTATTACTAAGTATAAAAAGCAAGTCACAGAACAATAGGTACAGAATAAACCATTTATGTAATAAAATGTATATGTGTATATATACACATACATGCACAGAAAAAAATCCTAAAGGATACAACCAAAATAATAATACATGTCTCCGACAAGTGTTATTAGCATGATTTTTTATTTTCTTCTTTGTGTTTCCTACTCCTTTTATAAGAAACATGGCAGTGTGACCTGGCAGAAACCCCACAGGTAATGCACGCCTGACCACACCCCCACCTTACCATCCACCTGGTGGGGAATCCCCTTCCAGAACTCTCTTCTGGCTCTGAGTATTCACACCCTTTGCATGTGACAGATATGATTTCTCGTGCTGCCGTTTAACTTTTCAAGTGTAATCTTGTCTCCACCAGTTGCTAGACTGTGGTTAAGTTCTCTGTCTGATATTTCTTTTGTGTTCCTCTCCATGCCTATTGCATAGCAAGTTCTCAGCAAACAGCCCAAGAAAGAATGTATGATTTCTGTGCCCATGAACCTGTGGGCTGGCCAGCATGGGCTGGCTGGCCCCTCAGGTGTGGCATCCAAGCCTAGTTCCAGGCCAGGCTGGAGGCTGTGTGTTGTGAGCCACCTGTCAGTCTAGTTCTATGAAGGTGCCTATTGTGGCTGCTAATTATTGTTGAGTGACAGGCCTGTTTGTTTAAAGCATACGTTACTGCCCTCACACCCAGAGGCAAAGCCAATCCTATGGAATCCTATAATTAATGAGCCAGTAAGTGTTTCCTCTTTGCAAAGGTGGCTTTGATCCATCAGAGACTTCCTACTCCTTCTGCAATGCTCACTCCATCTAGAACTTCAGGTTTTGGCTGTTGGAGGCCTCCTCTGGAAAAGCATCCCCTTTATCCAAACTGTGGGCCTACTCAGAACAGCCCTATGTCCCTGGTGTCCCAACCTAAATTCACCAGCTCCTCCTGGCCCTCCTGAGTGATAAAATTTGCTCTCAAGCGTAAGCAAATCTACTACCCAAGCCCCTCAGACTGTAGGCCCAAAGACCCAAAGGGCCCTAGAGACCACTATAAGAGTGACAGAAGGGTTCTTTCTTTCAA